TATCTATACATCTGAATATTTATGCATTCATCCATCCATCCAAATATCTATCAATCATCTAAATATTTATCCATACGAACATCTATCTGTGTATCTATTCATCCAAATATCTCTTTTATCAATCTGAATATCTGTCCATCCGAATATCTATCAGTCTGAATATGTATCCATCTGAATATCTATCAATCCATCCATCCATATACAGCGGTGTGAAAAAATGTTGGCCCCCTTCCTGTTTTTTTTATTTTTTTTGCATATTTGTCACACTTAAAAGATTCAGATCATCAAACTAATTTTAATATTACACATTACAAGATAATGCAAGTAAATACAAAAGTGATTTCTTGGTTCAACAGGTCTGGCAGTAATCAGGCCTGGGTGTGGCTAGTGAAATTTAACTCAGCTTTCTAAAATAATGTGGTTAATTGCAGTTCTTTCATGATTTAACAGGAGGGGGCAATTGATTTTTCACGTAGGGCCACGTAGGTTTGGACAGCTTTTTTCCCTTAATAAATGAAATCATCATTTAAAAACTGCATTTTGTATTTACTTGCATTATCTTTGTGTAATATTTAAATTAGTTTGAAGATCTGAAACATTAAAGTGACAAACATGTAAAAAAATAAGAAATCAGGAAGGGGGCCAACACTTTTTCACACCACTGTATATACACATCCAAATATCTATCAATCCATCCAAATATCTGAATATTTATCCATTCATGCATCCATCCAAATATCGATCTATCATCTAAATATTTATCCATCTGAACATCTATCCATCTATATCTATATATATCCATCCATCCGTATATCTACCCCTCTATATCTATGTCTATATCATCCATCTATCCATCCATACATCCCCATCTGTATATCTACCCCTCTATATCTATCTGTCTATATCATCCATCTATCTATCCAAATATCTGTCCATCTATATCTATCTGTCTATATCCATTCATTAATTCAAATATGTATCCATCTGAATATCTATCCATCTATATCCATCCATCCACATATCTATCCATTTATATCCATTCATCCATCCATCTAATCTGTTTAAATCTGAAAATAAAATGACAAATGTAGATCATCCACGAAAGTCAATGCAAAAGTCAGAATGCTTATTTTTACCCGGCATCACAGAGACACTCCTGAACTGGAGTCACGTTGGCCTGAGGACGTAACCATAGCAACAGCATGCTGCTCAAGTACGCTCTGTTCAGTTCACTATCAGGTATAACATCAATATAAGTGCTGTCAGTATTTCTCAAATATGAGCATTTTTCTCATATATTTACATGTACAAATCTGGATACTGGATGTTTGACAATTGGCTAAAGGGGCACTGAAAAACAGTTTTGGTTATGCAACACAAGTGCCACAAAATTAGCTTTAGACCTCATAGAAAGTGGCTGCATAATACATATAGTGAGCAAAAGTGATCCTGTGTGCTTGTGTTGTACAGCTCAACACCCACAATTCACTTTCAAAAATAGCCATCTCCATTTCTCAGGTGTTGAAAAGCACGTTTAGAGAAGAAAAGTATAAAACAGAACAGCATCTCAAAAGCACTAGCTGCTTAACTCACCAGTAGAATAACGTCACCAGACAATGACTCACAGAGACTCAGGGGCTTGAGATCTTATTAGATGTCATTACTACTTCACTAGCAGCCTTTGCTTAAAAATATAAATAAATACTACTACTACTACTAATAATAGAAATCTCTGGATATTAAACTTTATACTTGGAACAAAAGAATAGAGAATCAGAAGAAATTTCTGTCATGCAAGCAGCAATTTCCATAGCAAATAGTTTCATTTAAATGTCTATTAATATACAGGTACATCTAAAAAAAATTGAATATCATGAAAAAGGTCAATATTTTTTGTCACTCATTTCAGAAAGTGAAACCCATATATTATATAGATTCATTACACATAGAGTGAAATATTTCAAGCCTTTATTTCTTGAAATTGTGATGATTATGGCTTACAGATAATGAAAACCCAAAATTCAGTGTCTCAGAAAATTTGAATATTGTGAAAAAGTTCAATATTTGAAAGTCATGGTGTCACACCCTAATCAGCTAATTACCTCAAAACACCTGCAAAGGTTTCCTGAGCCTTTAAATGGTCTCTCAGTCTGGGTCAGTAGGCTACACAATCATGGGGAAGACTGCTGACTTGACAGATGTCCAGAAGACAGTCATTGACAGCCTCCACAAGGAGGGTAAGCCACAAAAGTTCATTGCTAAAGAAGATGGTTGTTCACAGAGTGCTGTATCCAAGCATATTCATAGAAAGTTGATTGGAAGGAAAAAGTGTGGTAGGAAAAGATGCACCAGCAAAAGGGATAACCGCAGCCTTGAGAGGATGACTCCTAATGCGATGGGCCTAAACAGAGACTCTGATTGTTCAACGAAGTTTTGTAGAACAATGAGTGCTTTCTACTTTACTGCAAATAGATTTTGCTTGTGCTTTCCAACATGGTAGTAAAGACTGCAGGGTGAGGAAATAAATTCACCAAATCCACAAATAATTACAGAGTATAAGAGTTTTGGTGCGGACACGACCACATTGAAGGAGAAATAACCACAAGAATCAGACTTTTAAGTGTAGGAAAACTGCTTGAATCACACAAGGGAGGTAGGTGAAACAAGAAACATCTTTCATCAGTGGGTAACTTTTTTAGTGTTTTAAGGAGTACTTTACCCCAAAATGAAAATTCTGACATTATTTACTCACCCTTGTGTTGGTTCAAACCTGTACACTCCTAAAAATAAAGGTTCTTTTTTTAATATCGATGGTTCCATAAGGAAACTTTAACATCCATGGAAATGGTCCATTCCATTAAAGGGGTCATATGATGCTTTTTTAAAGATCATTATTTTATGTATTTGGTGTAACAGAATATGTTGACATGCTTTAATGTTCAAAAAACACATTATTTTTCAAATACTGTACATTATTGTAGGTCCTCTATGCCCCGCCTCTCTCAAACGCTTTGTTTTCTACAAAGTTTCTCCTTCCGACAAGCGCAGTCTGCTCTGATTGGCCAGCTGACCCAGTGCATTGTGATTGGCCGAACACCGCAAGCACTCGTAGGAAATTTAACTTTGATAAAGAATATCTTTTTGGTTTTGAGACTTTAGTCTTTGCAACTTCAGGGATCTTATCTATGCACAATCAGCTTGTAACACTCCAAAGAGAAAGGAAAACTTGAAATCGCATCATGTGACCCCTTTAAAGGTTCTTTACAGAAGAAAAAACGTTCTTTAGATTTTTAAAATGTTCTTCAGACTAAGAAAAAAAATGGTTCAATGGTTGATCACTGAAAGGTTCTTTTGGGGAACCAAAAATCTCTCTTCTATGGCAACCCCCTTATGGAACCTTTATTTTTAAGAATATACAGCGTAATTTATTATGTGTAGGAAAAAAAAAAATAAATAAAAATGTTCATGCAGCTCAATTTTATACAACAACAGTTCATAGTGACCATGTCCATCAAGTTGCAAAAAGCGCATATGATAGATTTGCACTAAAATTTTGGTAATTTTGGTAAAGTAAAACATGACAGATTTTGAATGAACTAGTTCTTCAGTTAATAAGTTGGTTTAGAAAAATGATCAATTTCTTCATCCAGGATAAAAATACTGTGTAGGGTCTGCCCCAACTATGTACAGTATATTGGAATCGTAACCCAATTAAATACTTTTTTTAAGAGTATTTAGAACACAGTGTTCCCTTTGCATATACAAAATAAAAAGGAACCAGTTCCCAGAATAAAACTGGTTCTTACGGTGGTTTTCGAGAAACTTCAAAGACATCAGATTCCATACGTCTCAAACCTACAAACCTACAACAAAGGGATCAGGCACACCCTCAAACAAGTTTTTCATACGGTTTTCATAGCAGCGGAATATTCCATGATCCAAACACACAACTCAACAGAAGACACCAAACGTCCTCAGTTCCCCTTTCACATGTCAAGATATATTCTACCATGGCCCAATGGAGACCATAAATCTCAAATTTGTGAAACATTGGATAAATGTTTAGTGGAGGTTAATAGACTGTGGGGCCGCATGTCCACAGAGATGTGAACTTTGTAAAACCTGGGTGCCCCACAAGAGCAGAACACGAGTTAATGATGTGATGGCTTTACAAACGCTCCTGAACTGATGTGTCTGCAATAGCCTGTGGTGGAAACATTTGTAATATTTGGCCAGTGGTGGCAAATGGCAGCTTGGCGACAGTCTACCGTAAAAGAAGGTGCCCTTGAGGCCAGGATGTTTGTGGGGACTGAAGCGAATGCTACATTGCGGCATCAGTTTGGTGTTAAAGGATAAAGAGAGGTATGTGGAGAGAAAAGGCATGGCTACCACTGTACTATGCTAAGCTTTTCAAGAAGTCAATGACATGTCAATGAAGTCAGGACATGTCAGCCCTCGGTTTTATTGCTGCATGAGAGTACATGTGGCTGTTTGAGGATGTAGGTAATGGAAGTACGTGTGTACATGTGTTAACTAAAAAAGTGTCAACAAATGAAGTGTCTGCATTTCATTATCACACCTTGTTTCTCATGAAAGTAAATGCACACAAATAGGGTAATGGAACTGTTAAAAAAAGTCACTTTCCTGCAGAAAATGTTGATTGTTAATTTCAGTCAAATTATATGTTTTACTTTCTAGCTAATTTATACAGTGTAAGGTTTAAAATTGTTTCAACCCTGTTTTACATTGTTTTTTGTCAAAATTAAGCCACCACTCAGTTGAAACTATCATAACATATTCTTCTGAAACATATACATGCATGTGTGTGTATTTATATATACATAATATACACAGCACACATACATATATTATGTAACAAAATGAAAAAACTTTTATTTTGGATGCGATTAATCGCGATTAATCGTTTGACAGCATTAGTATATATATATATTTCTGCCTCCATATCACGTGCGAGGCTCCATCGTAAAGAAAAGAAAAATTAGTTTTGATGGAGTGAAGTACATGTATGTGTATGCATTGTAGTAGTCCAAAATTATTAATTAAAAACTGTCTCAGATCCTTTCGAATTTTGTACTGAAAACTGGCTCAAATTTTTTGTTGTTTCGTTTCCACGATCACTCCTTATGATCTGAATATTTGAGTTCATTTGAGTTTTGTAATGAACGCAGTGAATCATGGCTCCTTCTGACAGTCTGTTGCAACAAATGGTCTGGTGTGGTCATAGTCTGAGTTACCCAGTGGTCACAGGTCCAGCGTGTTGGTCTGGTGCTCGCGGGAATGGCCTACGGGGCTGAAGTGTGGATGGCAGTCGTGGGGCTGCGCGACACCCGGCTGTGCTAATGGGTTTCGGCTAATCACCAGCTCAAGTCTGTCTCCGGCCTCTGTGATGAGCGGCACAGCTAAGCAGCAGTCGAAATCTCGTGTCCGCACGTGGTTCACCTGGTGGAAAAACATTTAGACATCGAATTCAGTAGAATTCAAGTAAGAAGAATTTAAGGATTGATTACATAATTATAAACGACAACATCTTAATGAAGGGCCTCTTTTGTTTAGTATCTTTTAGAATAAGAGTCTACAAATTAAATTTTTAATTCTCCCATCACTAGCATGTTGTTATTGTTAACTTAAAAAAATTGTTTATTGTAAATTGCAATAAAGTTTAAATAAAATAAAATACAAATATTACATGAAAACCATTAAGTATAAATAAATAAATGAGAAATGTTGGCTACTAACTGAAATAAAATAAGTACCACAATTACTAAAACTAAAAACTAGAATACAAATAAAGCTAAAAAGAATTATATATATTTTTAAATGATAAAAATGACAAAAGCACATTACAAAATGACTAAAATTCAAATTCAAATAAAAACTGAAAATGAGAAAGCTAATTTAAAATATTAATAAATAGTATATAAATAACACTGATGTTAGCATTTCATTAGCATATGCTAATCAGCTGAATTTGGTGATTTTTTTAGACAAAAGATTTTAAATCAAACTTGTTTTCTTAAATAATGCAATAAATAAATAAATAAATAAATAAATAAAATAAATGAATAAGCAAATACATAAACAAGCATTTAATCAAAAAGCAACTCCCAGGATATGTCAGTTTTTGGATCTGGGTATGTCAGAACTTTTTTTTTTTATATATAAAACTTTATGAAGTACATTATCTTAAGGTAAAAACTCTTTTATAAGTTTGAAAAACAAAATTTCACTGCAGAAAAAAAACCCACCTACAATATTAACAAATGAAGATTTTATGACAAAATATTTTTAATCAAACTTTTTTTTTTCTAAAATATTGACTTAATGGTTTAAATGTTCTACAGAATTGTATTTTGTTAGAGTCTGTAAAATAACTTTCATCATACTAACGTTAATGCAACTTCAAGTTAAGTTTGTTCTGAAAATTTCAACCAATTATTAAATATGAAAACAAGCATGCAAAAGCAGACACCATAAAGCAAGCACCTACAACTAAACCATAGCATCTTTTTTCAACCTCCATAAGCAAACAAACTCTGCTTGCTGTGTGTTATCTGTGGTTGACACACCACAGCTGTTAAGTATAATCTTAAAACAGATTTAATCATTTCCACAGCCAGTGAAGTGTGGTAGATTAGCGAGAGTAGGACGTTCTCTAAGATTTGACCACAAGTGCTGTGTATAAATAAAATAAATGAATAAGCAAATACATAAACAAGCATTTAATCAAAAAGCAACTCCCAGGATATGTCAGTTTTTGGATCTGGGTATGTCAGAACTTTTTTTTTTTATATATAAAACTTTATGAAGTACATTATCTTAAGGTAAAAACTCTTTTATAAGTTTGAAAAACAAAATTTCACTGCAGAAAAAAAAACCCACCTACAATATTAACAAATGAAGATTTTATGACAAAATATTTTTAATCAAACTTTTTTTTTTCTAAAATATTGACTTAATGGTTTAAATGTTCTACAGAATTGTATTTTGTTAGAGTCTGTAAAATAACTTTCATCATACTAACGTTAATGCAACTTCAAGTTAAGTTTGTTCTGAAAATTTCAACCAATTATTAAATATGAAAACAAGCATGCAAAAGCAGACACCATAAAGCAAGCACCTACAACTAAACCATAGCATCTTTTTTCAACCTCCATAAGCAAACAAACTCTGCTTGCTGTGTGTTATCTGTGGTTGACACACCACAGCTGTTAAGTATAATCTTAAAACAGATTTAATCATTTCCACAGCCAGTGAAGTGTGGTAGATTAGCGAGAGTAGGACGTTCTCTAAGATTTGACCTGGGTATGTCAGAACTTTTTTTTTTATATATATAAAACTTTATGAAGTACATTATCTTAAGGTAAAAACTCTTTTATAAGTTTGAAAAACAAAATTTCACTGCAGAAAAAAAACCCACCTACAATATTAACAAATGAAGATTTTATGACAAAATATTTTTAATCAAACTTTTTTTTTTCTAAAATATTGACTTAATGGTTTAAATGTTCTACAGAATTGTATTTTGTTAGAGTCTGTAAAATAACTTTCATCATACTAACGTTAATGCAACTTCAAGTTAAGTTTGTTCTGAAAATTTCAACCAATTATTAAATATGAAAACAAGCATGCAAAAGCAGACACCATAAAGCAAGCACCTACAACTAAACCATAGCATCTTTTTTCAACCTCCATAAGCAAACAAACTCTGCTTGCTGTGTGTTATCTGTGGTTGACACACCACAGCTGTTAAGTATAATCTTAAAACAGATTTAATCATTTCCACAGCCAGTGAAGTGTGGTAGATTAGCGAGAGTAGGACGTTCTCTAAGATTTGACCACAAGTGCTGTGTAGCCACGCAAAAGATCCAGTCAAATCACTTTTTAACTCGACATGTCCTCCCAGAGTCAAAGGCCTACTGACGCTCTCATACCTCATTCTGGCCCTCTCAGAGTGAGTTTATATTTAACGGAGCTGGGCAGATCGTATAGCTGGGGAAAGGGAGGGGGTGCTGGGAAACCATGCAGTGTGTGGTGATCTGAGAAGAGGCACCTGAAGGATCCTGTCGTACGGTTTGAGTCCAGAGCGGTCCGCTGGACCCTCAGGTCTGATCATGTTCACATAAACACCCTTTTCCAAGAAACCGTCCGATACGCTGAATCCAAAGTCATCGCTTTCTGGGTCCTTCATCACAGTCACCTGTTGAACACAAAATTATTTTAACAATTTAACCATGTGCGAATTTCTTCTAAACATGTTCAGCAGATGATGTTGAAATCTTAAAGGAATAGGTCACAACAATAAGTCCTTGGGCTGTAAAAAAATAAAAATAAAATAAATAAATACAATTATCTATCTATCTATCTATCTATCTATCTATCTATCTATCTATCTATCTATCTATCTATCTAATTACATCTATTAATAGGTTAGCAAACAATAACTAATAAAAATGACAAAAACTACTGAAAGTTTAACAATTTTAAATTAAAATTGAAACTATAAAAATACAAGCATTTAAAATATAAATAAAAACTACAATGATACTAAATTATTCCAAAACAGCACTAATGCAAATTGTGTCAATGCCATTTCATATCTTTGCTTAAAAAATAAGTGTAGAAACAATTTTCACTCAGAAATTGGTAGTAAATTGGTAGTAATAATTAGTAGTAAATCACAATCAATTAAAAAAGAAATGGCAAGTAACATGCATAATCAATTTAAAAAAAAAAAGAAAAAATATTTTATCCTGTTCATGTCATTCCAAACCTGTATGACTGACTTTATTCTGCACAACACAAAAATTAACATTGTGAAGAATGTGCTGGCTGCTCTTTTCCACAGAAATTCCTTTAATGACTGTTGAGTCAAATACGTTTGATGTCACTGACATGAAATCTGGAACGACTTGCCTAAGCACCGCATATTTGAACAAACGCGAATGCGAATTATATTTCAATTTCAGTATGTTCCACACACAAAGCTACCGTGTGACTTCAGAAGAGTTGACAGCAACCCATTCACTGCTATTACACTGAAAACAGTGCCAGCACAGGACAAAACATCTCCTTTTGTGTTCCATAGAAGACAGAAAGTCAAGTATCGATGAAGAAACATGTCATCCATGGCTGACCTTGCTTGCCAGTGTCATCAAACATCTGATAAAAACACTTCCCCATACTTTCGTAACTCTCCTTGTTTGCTTGTGTAAGAACAGAGCTCATTGTTTTGAACCATCAGGCGTGAAATGAGCCATCAGTCACCATTCAGAGCCAGATGTTGTGGTAGCAGGATTGTAGTGGTTGGTGATTTGGGATTTACAACTTTAAAAAAGGGAATTCACAAGAATGATCTGCGCCTGCTGATGGTGGTGTGCATTTGCATGCACCGTCTGTGGTGTTTTAGCACTCGACTCACTCCAGGAATTATTTAAATAAGGTAACGGTGCAAACACAGGCCAAAAAATGTGCTGAAAGCAACTTTCACGGCACAATTCCTCATCTTGAAGGCCAGATTTAAGTGGAGGACACGGCAGATTACCACAATCTGACATAATTCACTGGGACTGAACAGCATTGCTCAACCACTGAACTCCAAAGAGCTTCTGAGTCTTTCCATGAAACATGTGCCTTTTTAATTATTGTTGTTTTATTTAACACATTAAAAGACAAATAATAGATAATTTGAAGTTAAATTAATAATTAAAAAAATTATAATAATAACAATTATTTACACTTTCTCTTCATTCTCTTCATTTAAAATGACACTAAACTTTTGAGATAAATAAGTCTCAAAAATAATAAAAAAAGAATAATGAATAAAAAAAAGAATAATGTCTGTTTTCTTAATTAAAATATTTTCATTTTAATTTAAGTTTGAGCAATTTTGTTATGTGCTTTGCCATTTTTATTAGTTTTAGTTGAAATATTTCTATTTAGCTTTATTTATTTTTTCTGGAATTTTTTTATGTTTTATGTTTTATAGATTTTCATTTGATATTTATATATTATTTTATTTCAGCTTTATTACTTCATTTTTTTATGGACCCTTCCATTCCAAACTATAGAAGTTTGCCCAACTATGACGACTTCTGCTTCTGAGAACCCTTGAAATGTGAAAAGGGTCCATTCACATATTAACTACATAATATTTAATTAATTTGTGATTGTGTTAAATGCATCAAGTGACTCTTACATAATTGATATTGACATCATTACACCGCAAGTGCAAGCTATCAACTTTTTCTTCAGAGAAACGCCATCATTCCTCTTATTCATTCATTTCTATATAATCCGTGAGATGATTAAATCATCATCGCAGCAGTTTACCTCGATCTCGCGCAGTAGCTCAGACTGGCTGCAGGTCTCCAGGTCTTCCAGGGCCTGGCACCAGAAACTGTCCTCCTGCTCCAACATGAGGCCGTCGGCATGCATCTGGCTGCTGTATCTGCGGCACACACACACACACATTAGAGCCAATAAGGCACGAGGCACTTAAGCTGGCACCCACATCCGGCACTCTGGCAACCAGTCTTGGCACGTTAAGAAGGACCGCAAGGCTGGGTGGAGAGGAGCATCCTGTGAGAGAAACTATAGGCCTGAAGATTTTAGCTTTGGTTATATAGTTATTATGTGATGTTTTTGTGCTTTTGTCATTTTATTAACAGTTCACACACACACACACACACACACACACACACACATATACATACAGTGGAGATCAAAATTAGACAACCTACAATTTCCTAAATTTTAAGTTCACTGCTTAGTCCTATTTGAAGCTATTCTAACAGGAGTTTATTCTATTCTAAAGGGCAGTTTTTTAAGCATATTTCAAAAATGAATTGTATTGTGAAGCACAGTATAAAAAAATTGTAATTTATTATTAAAGTTTTATTATTAAGTTATTGGTGTTAATCTTACACCTGGTGCTAATTTCTTTAATTATACGACAAACTCTATTTAGCTGGCAGGTTTCCACTAATTTTCACTGAGATTGCAAGATGGCGGGCCACTCTTAGGTGACTGAAAGCCTGCGACAACAGGTTGTCCAGATGAAGGCTAAAGAGATGACCCTTTCAGCCACTGCAAGAGAAGTTGGCTGTTCTAAATCTGTGGTTTCTTGAATATTGCAGCTTTACAATAACACTAATTCATTATGCACGAGAGAACAGGATAATGCAGAGACTCTCAATGGGGACTCGGTTCAGCACTGCAGCTGGAATTGCTCGCTAGTTCAGTGCTGAACAGGGTCTGGATATGTCATGGTACGTTTAAGAGAAGTCAGACTGAAAGCATTTATATATTTTTATATATGTATTTTTATATATTTTATTTATTTTCTCGCCTCCTATCATTAAGCAAACAACTCGACTTTTCTATAAAAAGAAGGAAAAATTGAATACAGTTTTTTTTTTCTTGTATGTGACAGATGTGCTACACATATGTTACGAATTACAAATTTGGTGAAGAAATATATATATATATATGTGTGTGTGTGTGTGTGTGTGTGTGTTAAACCAGAGTAAAAGGATGGAAGAGGAATTAAGAAAATCGAACACCAGTAATTGATTCTGTTTTAAATAAAATACATAAAAAGACTGATTTAGAGTGAATGGAAAAAGAAACATTTTTCACAAAAAAAAAAATAAAAATCTGTTTTTTTTTCAATTCCAAAAATTTCATATAGCATTTATATGACTAAATAAAGCTATATAAAAAAGTATTTACTCTAAAATATTTTAAAAATCAAAACTTTTATTTTTATGTTTTTCGTTTTTATTTTTTTTAGTTCTAACAATTAAAATGAACAATTTTAATTTTATGTGTAGTTTTTACAATTTTTTAGTATTTTTGTTTTAAATATTTCAATTCGCTTTCAAAGTTTTAGTTATTTTAGTACAATACTTCGACTAGAAAGGACATTTTAAATTTTGTCTTGGCAAAAAAAAAAAAAAAAAACAAAACGAATAAATAAATATTTTTCATGAATTCATTCATTTTAAAAAAATCTAATATTTATATAGTTTTCAGCTTTATTTCAATAACCAAAAAAGTTAAAAATTTTTTCAAGTTTTCATTAACAATAGCAACACTGAAAAGAATATAGTATGAGACACTATATTTTCTTCCTATTTCAAGCTTGTTTCTGGGTTCCTGTCTTACCCGGCAGCTTTATCCCAGTCGTCCTCACTGAATCCCCCGTCACTGAAGGGGTAGTTTTTGCGGCGGGGTGGAGGGGACGTGCTGTTCCTCTG